AACTGAGTCAAGGAAAGATTGGATGAATACATGAGTAGTAAGAGGTGGTTATAGTTGGGAGCTGGAAGGGACATCATTGATGGGCTAACAAAACTGTCCCTTTACAATTTTATGAAAATTTATGAAACTGAAGAATATAGAGTAAAATATGCGTTCAGTAAAAAGTTTTCATGTACAAAAATAACACGTATTATATATATATATATCGCAATGGATTGAAAACATACACACTTTACAATCCAGATGTTGCTATATTGGTCAGATAGTTTTAACTGAGGAGTTCCTCATCTTGTTTAATGTTTACGATAATTAAGTATTCGCTTTCATCTTACTTAGAAATGATTCTCGTTGTCCAAACGCTTTTATTAGAAATTATGACTCACAAAAAAGTAGAATAAATTAGCGTAGAAAAGAAAGAAAAATGTCACAAAAACAGTAACATTTATGTCATGGAATGCGTATAAATTAATTATTTGTCTGAAGTTGAGTTAAATTTATAAAATGGTTAAAAACAAAATAGCATGCCAAAAATATTAACATGATCCGACAGATTTGTGAACGATCTGACGACGTCACGGACCTGACTTCTTAGAAACCGTGAGATTAATTAGTTTAGTTTAAATTCTAACGTGCTAGCACATAATAGAAATCATTCATGACCCTGTAAGACTCTTAGCTCTTATTTTATAACATCTTTATTAAATCATGACGTTTAAAGAAATGAAACAGTGCCGTTTTACAAGAGAATATTATACTAACTCCTTCTCATCATCATCATCCATTGGCCATGTTTATATTAAAATTTAAACAAGCTCAGTAGAGCACGAGATCTTGTTCATCTCGAGCCACACGCACGTGGCACGTGCCGTATGTCAGGCATCAAATGCTTCAATCATCATTTAATGTTGATATCAGAGCAGTAACATATCAAATTCCCACCGAGGCTAAGAGACCCTTATATAGACCAGTACTTGTACGTGTCAGGATCATCTTTAAGTTGCTTAATTAATGCAGACTGAGAGGCGGGAACTTTGACTGAAGAACGTCTTAAATACATATCAACTGAGACTTACGGATAGTATTTTGTGAGAACACGACTTTGTTTAAATGTTTGTTTGTTTGAATTCAGTTGTGCAAGATAAAGTAATTTTTAACCAAGCCATATTTGGCATGAAAGCAAGGGCCAACTATGCATTCTTTAACGACCGAATTCTTGCAATGTGCTGTAGAGATTCTATGATTAGTCAATTTTTTTTTATGAATACAGTGCTCATTTGCAAATTTTGTTGTTGTTTTTTATTCTCGCTTTGCCAATATTTACGAAAACAGGCATACGTTACTTTCATGTCCCCCATTGAGCAGAAAGCTTGAGAAAAAAAAAGAAAGAAAGACAACAAAAACGTGTCGAAAAAAATAAAACTCTACATTCCTGCACAAATAATAGAATATTCTGATAACTAATAATGACAAAATGAATAAAACGTTTCAAGTTTTAAGACTACTTAGTATATTCAAACCACTGTTATCAGGTGTCCTCCGGTGGGTCAGTTGTAAAATCCGGAGTTCGATTCCCGCGGTGGACATAGCCCAAATAGTTTACTGTGTAGCTTTGTGCCAACAACAAAAATTATTAGGCTGTCTGTCTTCGTAAATAACATTTTTTTATATTGAATTACAATTAATCCACTGGTATTAGGCTCTGTTATTTAATAAATTACATTATAATTATTTCTTATTTAAGCACGTTGACATTACCCTGAGTAGCAAAGTTTGATAATAATTGTGTTTTATTATAACTTGAACCAAGTAACTGTAAAAGTGTGATATAACTGGTAGATAGATGAGGAGTGTGGATGGTCGTCGTTATAGTAATTGCCATTCTATAAAATAATATAAAAATTCAGCGTAGTTAGGCTTCACTTATTCACTTGTTATTTTTCTCCACAGACAACAGCCCCGAAAGATGCGTGTCTACCGCAGAAGCAGACTCCAGCACGAGTATCGCCGAGATGTCTGTCCCGCTGAAACCTGCTAGCCCTAAGTCTCCTGCCTACCTCTCCCGCCTCCTCGACTACTCCATCCCTCTTCCTTTAATGCCTTACTTTAGGGAAGAGCAAAAGGAACCATTAAGTTTAACTGTGGATCATATTCCTTCTACATACAAAGCTGATCACGTTGATGTTGAGACAACAAGGCCTCTTGAGGATGTAATTTTTCAAGAGCATCTGGTGGTTTCAGAAATGAAACTGGCTATTAGCCATTCCTGTTCCGATTGTGGTAAGGTGTACAGCACCAGTAGCAATCTAGCTCGCCACAGGCAGACCCATCGTAATGTTGCAGACAAGAAAGCTCGTAAATGTCCTCATTGTCAGAAAGTGTATGTGTCCATGCCAGCGTACAGCATGCACGTGCGCACCCACAGTCAGGGTTGTCAGTGTGTGTACTGTGGCAAGTGCTTTAGTCGACCCTGGCTTCTCCAGGGGCACATTCGTACCCATACAGGTGAAAAGCCATTCTTATGCCCAATCTGTAACAAGGCATTTGCTGATAAATCCAACCTGAGAGCCCATATCCAAACCCATTCCTCCACTAAACCCTATATCTGCCAACGATGTGGTAAGGCTTTCGCTCTCAAAAGTTACCTTTACAAGCACGAAGAGTCCTCGTGCATGCGCTTAAACCGACAGCAGAAATTAAGTCGAGGATCAAATAGATACTCTTCTCAAGAGGTTTTGTCAAAAGAACAGTCATTTACTCCCAGTCCAGAGGCATCTTCTCAACTTCTTCATGAGTAAATGTGAACCATGAAAATGTATTGGTATTTACGAAATAAGTGATGGAATAATAATACCGATCCTAAAGAAACAATATTTTTGTCATTAACAAGTGTAAAGGGATTGTTCACCTTGTGGATAAGTGCAGAGTCCACAAATTCCGTTTGATTGTAAAAAACGAGAACTCATTTTTACGTCGAGCAACGTAGTAAGAAAAGAGACACATCTGCATCACATTTAATCTTAATGCGTTTATCTTTTATAACCACTATTTTATGAAACACATAAAACTTAGCATAGTCTTCATTTACAAACAGAGAACAAAGAATATTATATAACACGTTTGTTTTGCATAGATCTTAACATTTCAAAATAGTTTTACCGACCATCAAAGCATGCTGAAGATGGAGGATAGTTTTCCTTCCCGTTATTCCAATCTTGACATTAATCACTCCAGGTGCATCCATTGAAAGTGAAAGCGTTTTGTTACAGGCATACAGCTATTAAATTCCATTTTATAAGATAGTACAACAATGTTTTATACAAAGATAACCAGAAGACATATCGTCCTGGTTGTCATCTATCGTGGGAAAGTGGTTTTGGTGAGCACGAAATCGTTTTTGTATATTTCATAAACTTCAATGAATCCTTTCAAATGAAAATGTTCTAAGTATTAATGTGTCCGATTAAACGGTCATTTATTGGTTCTAATTTAAAAAGGAGTCATCTACGTAATTAATAATTTTCAATCAAATACAGCAAACATATGCACAATTCATCACAGAGTAAGTAAGTAAGGACCAACATTTTTTTCATTACTGATTTTATAGTAATACAATGTATTTTATTAAAATATTTCAAAGTTTTCTGTGCGAATGTTTGTCGTGTTATAAGCTTTGGGTGGACGAAACGTCCAATATTAAAAGTTTTTTAACTGGCGTCCGTTGCTCTAGAACTACATTAACATTTGGAGATATTTTGATTATTAGTTAGTTTCGTGGATTTGGAGAGTAATTTTCCACTAATTCCAATTTTGTACGATGATATTTTTATAATATAATTGATTGCCATGCGTTTACTAATTATCTAATTGTAACACTGAATGGTATCGTATTAATTTCAATACTTGTGTTGTTCATGTTTATTGAAAAAAATATATTTAAAAAGATCAAATGCAATAATTTATCAATTTTATTTATGATTCATAAAATATTTATAACTTCATTGAAGCTGTCGGGTTTTATCTTTGTCTTATGGTTGGTACAACATTCAAGACATCCGCTAAGATAGTTATAAAAGATAACAGTTGGTAATATATGTGTAATAAGTTATTTGATATGTGACAATATATAGATATATATGTCGTTGTGATACTTTGGTAAAAGTATGTCCTTAAAGTAACAAAAATAAAATTCTAGAATGGTACAAATTTTATTACATTTTTATCTTAACTGTTTTGTTGTATTTGTCACACTGGTAACTACACTTCGGATGTTTAGTTAACTGTTATACAGAGCTACTACAATGACATCTCACCCAGGAATAATAAAACCCTCTCATTCAATATCTATCAAAAACAGCAAGTTTTAGAAAAAAGCTCATTTGGAAATGATGCGAGGGTTAGTCGCCCTTTGTAAGAACGATGTCCCAGGTCACGTGCTACACTTGGGACTACTTCTTCCGTTGTCTGTTATGATATTCAAGACATCACGCTGTTGGCCAACTCCTCAATTTCCGTTGTAAAAACTTCCGAAAGGACTACAAACTCAATTTCAGCACATTCTTCTCGGCAAACTTGCCACCAATCACTCGCTGTACGTGTACGAAAGTTTTCAAGTCAAAGTTTAAACAGACCAAATACGCAGACGTTAATGGGTGCGCAGTCAGGTGGATTTACAGGTATGTCGGATAAGGGAATGGCTTTCTTGGCGTTCTGGCCATACTGAACACGAATTTCATCTCGCATCATTGATGGCAATATGTTCTCCTAATAGTAACTAATAATCCCCTTTGGTTCATTGTGTATTTTGGGAAGTTTACATTTCCCACCATTTAAACCATCCGTGGCAACTATAACGTTAGGTTAAAAACCTTATATCCATATTGAAAGATCAGTTGTTGTCATAGTTATTCAACCACATCTAGGTATTACAACAAACTTATACACTCGTGGTTTATGCTTCTTCACAACCACAACATCATTGTAAATTATCTTGTGCATGGGCGATTTGCATACAAGCAGTCACTTTCTGGGTGAGGTTAGATAGACTTTCTGGACGACTAGTCCTGCTTAGGTTGTTTTACGTCCTCGGATGGGTTTCTTGGGCTTCCTTTGTCGATATTACTATTCAAATGTTATAGACAGTCATCTTTAAAATTAGTTTGTCCCGGACTTTGTCTCTCATTCCCTTATAACTATCCTTCCTCAGAACTATGAACGTGCAGACCAAACTCAATTTTACTCTGGGCGGTATTGCACTGTCGAATAGCTGGGAAGTTTTCGTGAGCCAAATATGTAGGTGATAAACATATCGCCCTGGCGTCACGGTTTACACCTGTAGCGAAACGCTACCACATGAGCATATGCAATTCGTTCTTACGAAATACGACATAACCCTCATCATATTATTACAGCTACAGTGTTAAAGTTAGGTTTTGAAATACTGAAAAATGGATAAAAGTTTCCCTTGAAAAGAGGTCTTTGACCAAAATAATGAGTTTTTTCTCACTTGTGGTATTTAAATCTAGTTTGTATCAAACTACGTGGTTTCAGATATTGTATTTTTTTCCAAATTGAAGTTAAAGATAGGTAAACAATAACATTTGTGTTTAAAAAAAACGAAGGTTATAAATTTTTATCTTTGTACCAAAAGCAAAAACAACAGAACTATATTTAAGAAGTCCTTGGACAACCTTAAATAGTGATTAGTATTGTTTTCTAACACTAAAAACAAAAAAAAATTAAATTTCTTACTAGTTATTTTAAATTTAAATTTCTGACCTCAAGGTGGTTGTTAAGCAGAATGACGTTATATACGTATTGGATTAATAAGGTAATTTTTGCTATTTTAAATATATTTTTTAAACACAAAAACATGAAACTATGAAAACTAAAATAACTTATACAGGCCGATATGTTTTGAATTTCTTCATAGTGTGTAGTTTTCTAGTCTTATTTATTTATTTATTATTTCTGGTATTTATTGATGTGTTTTGTTTCTTTGTGTTTTTTTTCTTTTTGCATAATTGGAATACATTTATCAAAAATAAATTTTTTTTCTGCTTTGAGTACAAGTTTTCTGCCTGCTTACTCTCACACGTTTTGATATATAGCCAGGTGATTAGGGCGCTCGACTCGCAATCA